TTGGCACTCCCTAGCTCCTGTCAGCTTCCTGGACTGTCATCTTTCATATGCGGAGTTCACACCAAAGGCAAAGGAAATGATGGCATTCCCTTTAACTGTGGGATTTGAGGAGAGACTTTTTGTTGATGTTGCAATTACTACTCATCTATGCTAAACCTGTGAGTGCCCAACTTCACGACAACATAAAGCCTGCTGCTGCACTGGTGCCTTTGATCGGCTGCTCATGAGCCAGCTATTAGATTGCAGTGTGGAGGGCAGCGCTGTAGCTCATCTGTTTTGATCTCACTGGCTCCTGGCTGGATTCCAGCATTATGACAGAAACTCAGATTTTCCCTAAATTCGTGATTAACTCCACCATTTCATTTAATTCTAGCATGTAACAAGTCTAAATCCAGATAAAGAAATCCACGGGAGGTCCATGGTGTGGTGAGTAGTGCTCCTCCCTCCCCCAAAGATGTGCCCATGTCTCAAGGTCTGAATTAACAGATAGATGTGCCTTTGTTTGAAAAAGTGTCTTAGATATTATTAGGTTAGGATTTCTGAGGTCATCCTGGATTATCCTTGGGCCCCAAAATTCAATAACACAAAGAAGAAGAGAGAGGCTCGGCTGCAAGTGATGCCTTTATACCCATGACTGCCCCCATCATCAAACAGATGCCTGGCACCAATTCCCCCTAGGACCTCCAGAAGAAACCAATACCGCTCATGTTTTAGTTTCAAAATTGTAGCTTTCAGAACGAATGGTGAAATAATGGATTTCTGTTGCTTCACACCATAGAGTTTGTGGTAATTAATTATGGAAGCCCCAGAATCAAGTATAAGAGCTCTCTAAAAAAAAATATCCAGCAAAAGCAATTCTCAGTCCACCTTGTGTGTGGGACTAGGTCTAAGTGTGGGGGGCAGGTAGAACATGGACCATATCGAATGCAGAGTGATGCATTGTCCTGGAAGTTCACTGGACCAGGAATTCCTTCTTTGAGTTCCAATAAAGGTCAGTCTGGGTGAGTCCCTCTTTCTCCCTGGACTTCTGTTTTTCCGCTATAAAAGAAAGATGCAGACAGAGTTGAGGGGACTGAGCTTGGAGGAAGGTGAATGTGAGGGAGAATAACAGGACTGCCACAATTTAAAGTCTGACTTGTAGAGCATGGAAAAGCACAGAACTTACAGATTCCGTGAGTCTGCAGTTCCTATGTAGTTCAGAGTTGTGACACTCATATTCCAGATAGAACCAGACCAAAGCTTGTATGTCGTTAGATTTTTTATGAGGACTTAACGATCTTCAGATGGTGACATAGCTGTGCCAGCTGAGTGGCTGTAGATGAATCAGTAAAAAATGTGACCGAGAACATTGTAAGCTGGAAAAAAAGATCTGTGCTGAAAGATACCAGCCCTAAGACGTGTGCTCATATGGAACGCAGACCTTTGCTATCAGTCCCATGAATCGAGTCATCCTTGGCATTCTACAGCCAGTTCAGGTCCACGCAGCAGCCTTAAGATGTGAGCCATGGGCTTAGGGGAAAATCAAATACAATTGTTTTGATAAAGGAATGTATCAATAAAATGACTCCTAATTATTATATTCTGCTATATACATAGATCTGCTCATACCCATCATACATACCCATATATGCCCATACCTGACTCATCCATTATCAGAGAAGCTTCTTCTTGTAGTAGATGAAAACTAACCCAGAGACCCACAGCTGGACAATATGCACAGCGTGAGAGACTTAATGGGATTCTCCACCAAACCCCTCCCCACAGGGATCAGAGAATTATGTGGAAGCGGAGGCGGAAAGATTGTAAGAGCCAGTAGGGGTGGATGACTACAAGAAAACTGTCTTTTCCAGACACAACAGGATGGATGCACCTGTGAAGTCACAGAGACTGTGGCAGCATGCTCATGACCTGCACAGGTTCAAGCTAGGCAGGGTCCCAGCACTGAGGTGGCGGGGAATGGACACGGGCTCCCACCCCTATCTGTTAGGAGTTGCGTGGCTACCATGGCTGCTTGACAAAGTTCCAGCATTTTGACATTGCAGATCACAATTGCCCAGCAGCCTTTTACCTTCATTTTTAATGATTCTCACTCTATGTTATGGGAGTTCTCTTATGCCTTTTCCTTTGGGAAATTTTGTGCACGTTTTGGTGGAGGATGAGGATGTATACAATGGCTGTCTCTTTAAACAAAATAATTCTTTGGAAAAAAAATCCCCACCTCTGTGGAACCATATAGTGTGATAACTCTGCAGGTAAGAATCCCCATTCTGCCCCCTTGGTTACACCAAGCATAGAGAACTTAAAATTGACTGAGTGGACACCCCTGATCCCAAGGATGAAAGCCCACTGTCAAGGGAAACAATGGACTCAAATCCAGAGTCTGACGGCATAGAGGAATCAGAATGGTATGGCATAATGGAAAAAGAATAAGAATCAGGACCTTCCCCTTTGGGAGAATATGAGAACAGGCCAGAACAGTAAGACTAAGACACAAAGGAACAAAATCAGGGAACAGCTCAGCATAAAGGATGCATCATGCCCCTTGGGGAATGAAAAACCCATCATTCTCATGGTTTTTCCCCCCTCAGGAATCAGTGTCTGACACCTCCTGACCACAGAGGCTGAGACCATGCAGGAGGAAGTGTAAGAAAACACCTGGTGGGATTACTGAACCTGAGAGAACAATAGGCATTTAGATACTCAGTGAACTTCTTGCTTTTTACCTCAGGAGAAACGCTGTGATAAAGCTGATGACCGCTTCATCCAGGAATCATAAAGTCGGTATGCAATCTTGCTTGTGGCTAAACTATTGTGCAATCATAGAGTATAAAAGGTGCGGTCTTTTTTACATAAGGTGGGAGCCATCCTGATTCACCCTCAGATCATGTCAGTCTCCTTCCTTCGCCAACTCCACATGTCCTCTTTGGGACTTGAACCCCACTGGAGCTGGACTCTGGCATCTAAGCAAGAAGCTGTCTCCAACTGACATCTGCTTACAAAGGAAAAATTAGTTTTTCCAATGGCGTCTCACTGCGTGTATTAACAACGCTTAAGGGCAGGTAAATGCCCAGTGGTAAATGGTTAGCACAAAATAAACTCAATGGTATTTTATAGACTTCTTATCTTATGTTGCTTTGTGCATTTTTTTCTTGTCTTACTGGCCTTTTGGCTGAATATTATGGTTTCCAATTTTATGTTTTTATGCTTTTTTTTTGATGGATGTGTATGTGCATGCATGTGCATGTGTGTGAATATCCAAACAAAACTCCATCATGGCAGGAAGCATAGCAGCATGCAGACAGACATGGCGCTGGAGAAGTAGCTGAGAGTTCTACATGCAGATCTGAAGACATCAGAACAAGACAGGGAGCCTCTAGGCCTGGCTTGAGCTTCTGAAACTTCAAAGCCTACACCCCCAGTGACACACTTCCTCCAACAAGACCATACCTACCCAACAAGGCCACACCTCCTAATAGTGCCACTCCCTATGGGCCTACGGGGCCATTTTTATTCAAACCACCCCACCAACATTTGAGGGGGTGTACAAACCCTCATAATCCTAGAGGGTAGATTTTATCTTATAGAATAGAGTCAGTTACATTGCTGCTTTGCTGTGTCATCATCACTAGGAAGGGGCATTGTTTTCTATCTTTTTTCCCTTTGACAGGAGAGGACAGAATTTCTCCAGGCTGGCCTTGAACTCACTTCTTGCCTTAAGCTCTGGCTTTTGTGCTGCTGGATTAGAGGCATGTGGAATACCGTCCTGCCTTGCTGTGTGTAGTTCCCAAGCATAGAACAGTGAGAGGTAAGGGCTAGCAGTGTGATTTCGTGGTAGAGTGCTTGCCTAGACTGTGCAAGCCCCTCGGTTTAATCAACAAAACCATGAGCAGAGTAGAGTAGGGTAGTGCAGGGTGGTGCCTAGCTGCTGTCCAATGCATGTTCATTGAGCTAGCCAATGAAATAATTGGTATGAATTCCCTTTGTAGCTTCAATCTGCTCTTCAATATACACATGTGTGACTGCGTAGGGGACTTCACCTAATGATGTGTGAAGTCGGGTGCCCCTGGCAATATGAAACCTGAGGAGAAGAAATAACATAGTGAAGACTTTTTTTTAACACTTTTTTTTAAAAAATTGAAACAAAAATCAAATTAATTCCTGAAAGTTGTTTGAGTCCCAGCAATGTGATTTGACTATTACCCTTGGCTGCACCGGGCTCCAGAGGAAGTACACCAGGCTGCTTCTTACACGGGTGGACAATCACATGAGGGGTCAAGGCAACCCATTTTTTTTAATGATTTAAATGATTATCTTCTCCCATTCTACCCTTTATCTCCTAAAGGCCTCTGTGACTCAAACTCTGTAAACAGCAGCAGTTCTGAGTTTATAAAGCTACTCCCTAACCTGAAGGAGCTAGCTGTCTTCATAGGTGTCATATATATACCCACATGTTTTTATTCTTTTTTTTAAATGAAAACTCACAAAGCCTGAAAGTCCATGACAATAAAGCATATTAAAAGTCAGATTTGTGTGTGTGTGTTTGTGTGTGTGTTTGTGTGTGTGTGTGTGTGTGTGTGTGTGTGTGTGTGTGTGTGTGTAACAGCTTCTGAGTTAGTGGAGGAGCAAATCAGTCAGCCAGATGGATGTGTGTTCAATAGACTTTCAGCTGAGAAACACAGAAGCCAGGCTGTGTTTGGAAGAAGGGTTGGATTTCTCTTGGAAATTTTTTCTACAAAGAAGGACTGAATGTTCAAAACAGATAAGCACCCCGTCAGGCCGAGAATGGGGAGATGAGAGTCTTTGGAGGCCAAAAGAACTGGAGATTACATTGTGCTTCATGAAGCCAGAGTCCAGATGTTCAGCGTTCCAGAGGGCTGAGCTGGCCCAGCCGTGACTCAGCCTCCACTCTGTTTTCCTCTCATAGAAGGAAGAAATTCTGTTCTCATCATGGAAGACACTAGTTTGGCACTGGGCTATCTATATATTCTGGCCTCACTTACCTAGATAGCCAGCTTCATGTGAATTCATCTTCATCCACGTTCCATGAGCCTACATTTTCATGTTTCAAAAGAACTCCCTCCAATAGCAGGAGAAGTGAAATGGCTTTGGCTGGCTGCTTTACTGTGTTTCTTAGAGTCACCTTCCTTGTTTAATTTCTTGGGGGTATAGAGGTGTGAACATCTGAGGAAGCCTTCCTTTTATATGTTCAGTATCACTTTAGATATCATTGCAGATTGCAGATATTCCCAGCTACTCAGTAAGGATGATGAAAAATAGAGTCTCCAAATGTTATTTTTATCCAGTTCTAAATCTGCAAATTCAATTTAAATGAACAAGTGTTCCAAATTCCAGTCTGTTACTTTCTTTTCCCTTTAGGATGGTTCCAGATCTAAGTTTCTTAAGGATGTAAGGAGCTCTTTTGCAGACAGCTACCATGCTTCAATGCAACTTCTTTCCATGTTAGAGCTTCCTATGTCCTTTGACTCTTTAGTGTGTATGGAAGCTTGGGTTCCTTTGGCCTAACGGTGGCCAGAGTTACATAGAAATTGGTCAGTCTTGAGTCCTGACATTGCTTCATCCCCTTGTTCCCAAATACATGCAAACATAGCTCACGCTGGGAGAGAATGGCACCCAGGAACCGGGTGCTGGAGGAAGAGAGAGTGCACAGAGCAGCTAGGGGGCTCTCTCTATCCCTGTCTTCCTTAATGCAGGGCAGTGGAGCTGGAACAGGCAATCATGAAGTCCAGGAAGCCTGGAGAATCCTAAGACAGATAAAGTTGGGGGAGACTGAATGCATAAACATTCAGCATCTCCTTTCTGGTTGCCAATGGAAGAAAAATCTCAGCAGCAGCTTGTAGACTGTTGATACCACTCCTCTGGTTTGGAACGAAGCCAGGAAATAGAAGATAACTTAAGAAAATACTTGTTCAGAACAGCTCCTTTTAATGAACTGTAAAAAACCAAATAAAACAAGAAAAACTTTCCTTAAACATTTCTCCAGAAAGCAGAGATTTCTTGTTTCCCACACCCAATTCCAAGATCTTCTAAGTTCTCCATGTTGCTGAACGTTTGTGAAAGCATTTGACCCACTATATGAGATTAAAAGTGTTTATTTTAGGATATTTTCTTTATCTATATGAACATGAATTTGAGGTCATCTGTGCAATTTATTTTTGGAATTTATACTGTACAAAATAGATCAGTCTCCTACAAAGTGAACTGTATGCTCGGTAAGTTAGATCTATTGGCATGTTCTCTCTTCTCTTTCCTGGAACCCACATTTAATTTCTGTGCCATGCTCTTCCCCATTCTGACAAGCTGTATTCTCATCCTCTGCCCCAGCAGCATATACACCAGGGTTAGGAGCAGCAGCTTCTAGCTGTTATCACCATCTACGTTCCTGGTAGAATTCCCATTTAGCTTTCTTTATTTATACTATAACCCTTCATCCACAGACTATGCTCTTTTTAAGACTATTTTGCATGCCCAGCACTTTGCTAGGTATTGATGATACACTATTCTAAAAGGCAGGGAGGAGGTCATGATGTCAAAATGTCCTCTCATTGTTTATGCTTGTACTAGTAGATTTGTGCTGCTCTCAACTTTGGCCAGAAAGGCTTCTTTTTGCAGTGCTGGTGGTGAACAAAGAGACTCACAACTGGTCAAAGTGGTGAGAGTGAGTGATGGTGAGTGTTCAGCTCTAAGTGGGTCATCTATAGCAACCTCTCCTCACCCAGGCTCAGGGAACATAGCCGAAGAGTGGTGAGAAAGAGGACAGGGAAAAGAACCATGAAACGCTGTCATCTGGACATGGCGTGACATTGTGCACTCGAATTCACACCATCTGTGGTTATCTCTACAAGACCAGCACAAAATTAAGCCAGTCAAAATTCCAGCATGGATGGTAGAGGGGTTTTCAAGGCCTGACTCTTAGCTGAGGGGCTATTGCAGCTGATTGCTGCTTATGGAGGAGAGATTGTCACTTTTCTCAAAAAATGTCACCACTGGTAGGTTGATTGCCCAACACCCTGGATGGCCTCACACTCATGCACATGTGGACAGCACTAATTGAACCCATGGTTTCTCTTTCTCTCTCTCTCTCTCTCTCTGTGTGTGTGTGTGTGTGTGTGTGTGTGTGTGTGTGTGTGTGTGTGTGTACAGTGTCTTACTATATCACCCTGGCTGGCCTGGAACTCATTACATAGACCAGGTTGACCTTGAACTCACAGAGATCCACTTGCTTCCACTTCCCTCTCTCTGAATACCTTGATTAAAGGTGTGCTCTACCCTGTGCTCAGCTAGGGATCTGTTGATGTAAAAAAGAGAGAGAACATGGAGTTAGGAGGAAGATGCAGATAGGGACCCAAGAGGCAGCAGGGGATGGATATGATAAAACTTCATTGTATTTATGTATAAACATACATAGACTAAATAAATCATTATTTAATTAATAAGAAAAATGAAGAAGGGCCCTGTTCAAGTACTGCACATCACAGTATGATAAGGAAAATTAGATGTTAAATAAAAATTGATTCTTCCTTTACAATGAAAATTGTGCTACATAAGAAAGTCAGAAGTATAGAATGGCCACTTTACTTAACTGAGAATATATTGATAAATCATTCATGTTGACATCCCAGAGAAAATGGTCATTTCTTAGACTAAGTGAAGATGAGGTCAAGATCTCCAACTAAAGATAGTGAGGTGGGCGTAAGAATAGAATTGACAACACGTCTCACAAGATCTCTCATCAACAGTCTGCTATTCTTCAGCTTCCTGTTACTACCACAAAATACCTGAGACTCTCAACTTAGAGGGGAAAAATGTTTATTTTGTTTTGTGGTTTTGATATCTTAGTTCATGCCCCAAGCTGTTCCTTTATTTTTGACTGGGAGCAAACACATTTTAATGGGAATGGTATAACTTGGTAAAGTTATTCACCACATACCTGGGGACTGAAAGAGAGGGATCATAAAGTCCAGGGGGCCTACTATCAGCTTTAAGAACATGCTCCTAATAACCAGACGACCCCTAGTAGGCCTTATACACTTAATATCACCACCCTCTTCCAATGCCACTAATTTTGAAGTTAGCAAATGGGCCTTTAGAGGACATTTCCAAACAAAACTACAGCAAGGAATGAATTTAAGCACAGACCTTCAGTTTCTAATTCCTGTCAGCAGCTCTTCCAAAACCCAAATCTCAGGACACACTATACAAGCTTTCAAACATGACAGCCCTGGAGCATTCATACAGGGAAACCTCCCAAGTTAATAATAACACTCTCTAGGGGTTCCTACTATGAATATTAGTTTTTCCATATTCTTTATAGTAATCACATATTATTTTTATAATGCAATGGAATATTTTCTAACAATGAATTTTATTTTTAAAGAAAAACAGTCCAGGGAAGAATGATGTCTACACTGTGTGGCTACCTAGTGTATATTGATTGGCATATGATAAGCTGGTTGGAGTAATGCCTGGTACAGCGTAGGCTCTTAAATGTTTATTCCATTCTCCCAAATTCATCTCCAAATCCCTAGGACTGGGCATGATGCCTAGAATATTGCTCAATAAATATTTGTTGAATGAATCCATAAGCAAACTTCCAACTAAAATTACAGAATTAATTATAAGGCTGCTGACCATGGAAATTACTACCTTTAAGAAAGAGACAAAAAGAGACATCTTTTAGGTTCTAGTAGCTCTTACTCAACTAGGCAGTGATGTGGAAATGAGAAAGGCCAATTTCCTATCTCAGATCAACTTTTAACCATGCCTCAATAAGTTCAGGATCCTGATGGTTATCTTATGGGAAGACTCTTGGTCATAATGTTTGTATTACAGACTGAAACCTAAAAGAATAAACTCTGGTTGGTCTATCTGGTATAAATAACATCACAGTAAATACAGAAAACCTTTATGGGACTATAATTCATAGTTTCATACCATCATTGATGATGGTATGATAAATTTATTTTCAGTCAAATACATTTGCTTAGCTATGGAGACTGTTATGCATATTTGAAGCATCAGAGGAAGGAAGAGTAGGGTTGGCTGAAATCCCAAAGTGCTCACATCTTTGTTTCCAAACTAGCCCTAGACCTTCACCAACAGTGCATAAATCCTTTTGTATCATGATAATCCAGAGTTCATCCTATAATTTGCAGCATGAATGTTCAAGTTCAAGAAACCTGGTCTTGCTTTTTTTTCTTTCTGGATTCTTTCCCTTTTCCTAGGAAATAGAAAGCAAATCTCACACCATCTCCCTCCATGTTCTCTGCTGTAGCTCAGTGTACTTTCTTTTAGGCTAGCGACTGCCCACAAGATACCACTTCTGTGTAAGGTGCCTCACCAAGCAGCTCACCACTTCCTCCCTCTCTCACCCTGCTAGTCATACATGTGGCAATGAGCATTCTCTCATGACCCCAGGACCTACAAACCTCTCTTCTTTTCACCCCATGTCACCTCTCCATGCAAGTAATTAAGATCAAATGGTGTGAAGACTTCAACACGTCCAACTCCAGCACTGGTAGCATCTGGGGTTTTTATTAAATCCAGACACAGCTTTTTGGGTCTTCAAGTTGAAAAAAGACTAACACAAAAGGACAGCTAATACTTTTTTAAATTCCCTTAAAACTTAGGATTGTGGGTGGTAGAAAACTGGAGGATAGCATAGACTTGGAGAAATCCCCCAAACACTAAGAGGTTGTCAAGTTTTCTTGTTTTGGAATATATCTAGTTTTACTTGGGAGTTGTTTGTTCTGATTTTCCTCTGTATGGGCACAGATAATTTAGTCCTTATGAACGATTTTTTTAAAGTCTTAGCTCTGCAAAAAGTTTATATCAGGATGGAGGTTTGACTTAATAGATTGCTCAAGGGTTTGCAATCTAGAAACTTTGGGTGTAATTATAAAATTTAAAACAGCCAATCTGAGGTTAATGAGCTATACCTGTAATCTCAGACATCGGGAAGCTGAAGCAAGAGAATTGTTGTGAGTTTGAGGCCAGCCTGAGTGGGATATGTATAAAGACCTTGTCTCAACAACACAAAATGAAGTAAACAGTAAATACACCAATAGATTTTAATAGTATTTATGGTCCTAAATTTCGCCTATATGTAAAATAGAAAAAAAATGCCATTCTGTTTCAGTCTTAATGAGGTACCCTATAGGGTCAAATTGAGAACAAGTGTGATGGTTTTCATGAGAATGGTCCCCATAGGTTCATATAGTTGAATGATTGGTCTTCAGTTGATGGAACTGTTTGGGAAGGATTTGGAGGTATGGCCTTGTTGAAGGATGTGTGTCACTGGGGGTGGGCTTGGAGGTTTCAAAAACCCACACCATTCCAGTTAGCCCACTCTCTGCCTTGTGCTCACAGCTAAAGATGTAAGCTCTTAGCTATGGCTCTAGTGCCATGACTGCCAGCTGCCATGCTCTTTTCCATGATGGTCATGAAATCACTCTAAAACTGTGAGCTCCCCAGTACATCCTTTCTTCTATAAATTACTTTGGTCATAGTGTTTTGTCACAACAATAGAAAAGTAACTAAGGCACCAGGTCTGATAAATTCCTTTACTAGTGTCAGAGTTAATGGGCCAATGTATTGTTACAAAATTATTATGTTAAATATTGAGACTAGCTGCTACAAAGTGCTATGAGAAAAGCAATTATTTATAAACCATGGCTTTAGGAGGCAATACAGATCTTGCAAATTGTACTGAGATGCAATTTCTTGATGAAAATGTTGTGATAATCTTGCATTCTTATATTATCTAGCACTATCTAATGAGTCATCTTGTACTGCACCTCTCTGAAATGTATAACTCCACATTTAGACCTGTAGGAAAAATGAAGTCAACCGTAACTGCCCAATCAGATTAAAGAGATTTCTTCCCAAATTTTCCCATATTTTCTGTCTTCCTTTGCAATTCCTCCCAAGGACCCACAAAAAAAAAATGTGGTTATAGCCAGATAAAGATCCTCAAATTATATATTAGCAACGTTATTTAAAAAGAGAGAGAGAGAGAGAAAAGAGGCCTGGGAGGTAGTTTAGTGACAGAAAACTTAATTAACATGTAAGAGGTTCTGGGTTCAACCTGCACTGAACAGAAGAAAAGATGGGAGGGAGGGAGAGAGGGAAAGAGAGAGAGGGAGAGAGAGAGAGAGAGAACCATTCTGAGGGAGCACAAGTAGAAGGACAGTAGTTCTGCTACTTCAAACATCCTAAGCTTTATCAACACAAGGGGAATTCACCATGTAGAAGAGGTAACGAAATACTGTTACTGCCTCAATCCTTTGGCATTTTCATAAATGAACTGCATGCCCTACTTTCTCCATAATCTCAATAAGGCTAACATTGAGTTTCTCGTGTTGACAATTCCACCAAGAGGCATGTGCATCCACTTCGAATCATGGCTGGTTCTTGAGACCCTACCTTTTCAGAGCCCCCATTTACCAGAACTCCCATGCAGTGCCAATTTCTATATCCAGACAACATTTACAGGCCTCCATGTCTTGTCCAGCCCCTGAATTGAAGCTGCAGCATGTTCTTTCAAGGCCTTTTGCTCAAGAGGTTGCACCCGGCACTGTTTTCAGAGGTCTGATTCCTGTAAATCAGAATCAGTAGATAATCAGGAGATTTGAAACTTCTTCATTGGTTTCTTGTGTTTTCCTGTCTCACAATATGAGGAAGGCTAGCCCTGGATGATCAGAACATCTACTAAACAACTAAAACCACATTACCTAACAGGAAATTCTGCATTTTTCTCCAAACGTGTGAAGAGCACAGTTGGGTGGCTATGGAAAACCTGTTGCAGGTTAGACTTTCATGTTGATTCACCATCATCATTTTGTGGAGATTTTGATGGGAGATAGGTTCCTGAAAAGTTGTATGCTTGCTTTATGTTTTTTTATTTTCTAATTTACCGAGTTCTTGTCAGCTAGCTCTGATCACTTTGCTTAACTGTGTTTCTGCGGCCAGCAGTCTTCCAAAGACTAAGGGAGGAAGAAACACGATATTAATAAGGCCGCCTAAGGAGATCAATAAATGATTCATAGTGAGGTTTGCAAAATCTGTACAACTATGAGCCTGTAACCATGAGTCATGCATGAACACATGAAAGAAAAAAAGAATGGCAAGAAGGAAAGGGACGTTTCAATCTAGGTCAGGTTCTCTGACTAGAAACATAGAACGAAGAAATTTTATCTAGTGTTCACCCTAGGCTTCATGGAACCCCAAGGGTCTAATAGAGTTATCTTGGGAGCCATTGTGGGGGGAAGGGGGAAGCTGAACAGGGAACCAGAACACAATTGTCACCCACTGAATTGAACAATGGAACTCCATATGAAAGTTTGTTCAGGGAAAAGTTCTGACTAAAGTGAATTTGAAAATGTGGGCAGCACAAAACTCCACTGTTGAATTCGGCCCAGGAGATCCCAGGTAACACCGTAGTAAGGATAGAATTGACAAGGTTGTATTGTTCTAGGTCACAAAATAACTTGATACCTGTTCTTGTTCGTTCATTCTACTGGTAGTGTTTGTGTATGTGTGTGTGTGTGTGTGTGTGTGTGTGTGTGTGTGTGTGTGTGTGTGTCCATCTATCCCTAGATATACTTTCTTCCTTTTGGGAGACACCATTTACTTGTAGTTTTAATAAAGACGTCTTTAAATAGGACAAGTAAAAAATTCTGAGCACTTGCCCTATTTTCTTACTAACCTGTTTTACCAAGTGCTCATTTACTTCAGTTAAGAAAAGTTATGCTCCGAGATAGTAAGCAATTTCTGCATAGCCATCCACCCAGTAACTAGCCATTCAGTTTGCTCCTGACCCCCTCCAGGTTATCAGCTCATCTGTGAGCCTTCAGATAGTGTGAGCTACCTCTGAGCTCAGCTGAATCACATATAAAATGTAAATGCTATCATTTCTACTGTGCATGAGCAAAGATTAAAATGAGCTGATAGATGATCATGATTTTCAAGGTAAACACAATCATTACCTTGGTAACAGGTGATATGAGCCCTAAGAGTTTAAATTTGATCCTGCAGGTTTAAGAAGCAGGTCAGAATCAATCATTTCATTACGCAGTCACAGATCAGGAGCAAGGTGCAGCATGATGCCTATCAAAATTCTGGGGTTTAGAGCAAGCTACTTTTAAGTTGCCAATTCTACAACCAAAAAAAATAATACACCACCCTTCTCTATGCACAGATTCCAGACACAGTTATTGTGACACCCAGCTGAAAAAAAAATTGTAATACAATTCTCAACCCTGTACAAGGTTTTTAAGTGAAATGTAAATGACCATGCCAGTGGCTTACAAATGATTTTTATAAGGCTGAATAAGGATGTCTGCAACTTATTGAAATTGAAATCATCAGAATTTAGTTCAGAGCTGACTTTGAACTGAAATATGGTACAAATCTGAACCACCAGTGAGCACATGAAGGAAACAGAATGGGTTAGAAGGGAAAGGTTCTTCATACTGGAGATCAGGCTCACTGCTTAGAGATCCAGGAAGGGAAAATTTTATCTACCAGTTACCCCATGCTTTATGCAGCAGAAATGGCCCAACCAAGGAGACCATCAACTTGTGTCCACTATGTTACATTCATGTTCATCAGAAAACCCCCCTCTATGCTTTAAGTAAAGATGAGATTAAAGCTGCCTATATTATATATATTTTGGTGATAATATCATGCGCTTTCGAAATGGAAGCTGTGACAGGATCTGGGCATCCTTATAAGCTAGCAAAACACCTCTGGGGGGGGGCAGGGGCTTTGAGCTGCCTCAGTTTTGTTGAGAAACCATTCTTGTAATTCTGCATGTATCTTTCTTATTGTTTACAGCTTCCTGTAATGACTCTATGGTCTTAGTTCTCTTTCTTCCCCCTGATATTTTAGGTGTCTCATAGTCCATATGTGGACTTCCCTACTTGGTCAAGAGTTGGTATTATGGACTCACATGTGCTGAACAGCTTTCTGAGTTAGATACTTCATGCTATGGACTACAAGCAGTTCATTGCCCCTCATGGGGAATGAAAGCTCTGAGATATTTAAATGAAATGTGTATTTTTGGTTCCCTGTGTTGCTATACCAAAAAGTTACAGTCAGTAGGTTTTGAAAGCATCTTTTTGGTGCTTTCTAGAGTGGAAAATTTGAATGAGTCTAGTGGCAATTTTTTTTTTTTTATGCTGGAGGCTTGATGTAGCCTTGTGAGAATGGTCCTTTCAGAAGTAAGGGAAGTTTCTCAGAGGCCACATCCTGCCATTGAGAGACAGATATCGCCTTCCACCAAAGAACAGCTCCTTCCTGCACTGGGCATCAGCATCATGAGCTTGGTTTCTGCTATGGCTTCTGCTTCATCATTATGACATTCATTGAAGCACATGTTTTCTCTGACTATCAGTTGTGGTATTGTGTTCCCCCAAATATTGTGCATGCTAATAAACTTATCTGGGGTCAGAGACAGAGCAGCCACAATATTAAACATAAAGGATAGGCAGTGGTAGCACACGCCTTTAATCCTAGCATTCCAGAGGCAGAAATCCATGTGTCCAAAGATACAGACAGGCATGGTGACTCATCACACCTTTAATCCCAGAAAGCCAGCCTTTAATCCCAGGGAGTGGTGGTAGAAAGCAGAAAGGTATATAAGGCATGAGGACCAGAAAAGCATTTGGCCTGGTTAAGCTTCAGGCTTTCAAGCAACAGTTCAGCTGAGAGCCATTTGGATATGAGGACATAGAGGCATCCAGTCTGAGGAAACAAGACCAGCTGAGGAGTTGGCCAGGTGAGGTTAGCTGTGGCTTGTTCTGTCTCTCTGATGTTCCAGTATTCACCCCAATACCTGGCTCATGTTTGATTTTATTAATAACAATTTTTAATATTCATGCTACAATCAGTCCTCAGGGTTACATGATGATGCATTGACACCTTGGCCAAGCATGGGGCAGGAATAGAGACTGAAAAAGAATGAACAAATTCTTACAGGACGTATACCTGCCAACATGGGACTTCACCTGTGTGGCCTAGCACAGTACTCTTCGTACCTTGAAGCCAGCGTCTGTCCTGATTGGCTGGTTGTTCAGGGTTTTGTGTATCCAGTGTACGTGCAAAGTTACCCTCTGAAGCTAAGCTGGTGAGATACAAGTGAACACTATGAACGGTCTTGAGAAGTAACCCAACAGGATTCTGTAAATGTGACTGTAGCTAGAGTTTTCCTCCCTTGCCCAGTCAGGACAAATCTTTGTCACCCGCCAGTCCCACAGCCGCTCAGACCCAACCAAGTAAACACAGAGACTTATATTGCTTACAAACTGTTTGGCCGTGGAAGGCTTCTTACTAACTGTTCTTATAGTATAAATTAATCCATTTCCATAAATCTATACCTTGCCACGTAGCTCGTGGCTTACCGGCATCTTCACATGCTGCGGCTGGCAGTGACTCCTTCTGCCTTCCTGTTCTTTCTTTTCTCCTCTCTGTTAGTCCCGCCTATACTTCCTGCCTAGCCACTGGCCAATCAGTGTTTTATTTATTGACCAATCAGAGCAACACATTTGCCATACAGAACATCCCACAGCATGTGACCCCTATGGAAAGTATAAAACCAACCAAGTTCAAGATGTAAACGGAGGAAGGTAAGGCTGAAATGTGATCAGAACCAAGAAAGGGCATACCTAGGCAAGCATGTGTGTGCATGTGCATGTGTGTTCTTCTGATTAGGAATTTCGCTGGCTAGTTTTTGTCAAGTTAACACAAACCAGAGTAACCAGAAAAGAAGAAAACTCAGTTGAAAAGGGGCTCCATTAAATTATTCTCTGGGCAAGTCTGTGGGAGTATTTTCTTCATTGATGACTCATGTGAGAGAGTCTCACTGTGGTCTGTGACATCCCTGGGCAGATGGGATGTCTAAGAAAGCAAGCCAACTGAGCATGACATGGAGCGCGAGTCAGTAAGCAGCATTCCCCTGTGGCCTCTGTTTCAGTTCCTGCCATCAGGTTCCTGCCTTGAGGTCCTGCCCTGACTTCTCTTCATGATATGCTTGCTGTAAGCTGTAAATCAAATAAACCCTTTCTTCCCCTAGGTTGCTTTTGGTCAGTGTTTTAACACAGCAACAGAGAAGAAACTAACACAGGAATATTGTTTAGTTATTAGTATATAGTTGAAATTTCCAAGCTATATTTAGTGGTTCTGTTTAAAAGTTAACACTAGAGGACCCAGGTTCAGTTCCCAGCATCCACATGGCAGCTCACAGCCATCTGTAAGTCCAGTTCCAGGATATCAGATGGCTTCTCTCTTCCATGAGGACCAAGCACATACATGGTACACAAACATGCATACAGGCAAAATACTTATTGGTATAAAAATAAAAATGAACAAATCTTTAACAAAAAAGAAAACTAACATCTACATTATATAAACTGATATCTTGAGGTATAAAAATGTCCAACTTACAAAAATGTGGAATTTTCATAAAAATTTGGACACAGTAATGAAATGGTTCAGCATGTTACATGCATCTAATCTAAGCATTCAGGAGATTATAGCAGGATGATTAATGTGAGAACCAATGAGACCACAATGTGAATTTGG